CATTTGGAAATAATTAATCATTGGAGCAATGTATGTGCGTGACCCCAGCCCGGTTGCATAGTAATAGTAATGTTCATCTGGGCAAAGGATTTTTGCTGACTAATACCAAAACTACAGAATATTTAAGTACTTTTTATTGAGTATTTGACGGGACAGAAACTATTATACATCTGTCTGTTCTTCCTAGTGAGTGCCCTTATAGCTTTGTCATTAATTGGTGCTCATTCTTTGGTTCTTTTTGGCCAGTGAATCTTTAATTATTCTGTAATGAAAGATGAAACTCGAGAGGTGTTCCAAGTGGCTGCATTAACTAATGCAATTCTGGTGAAAATAGCACATTTTAATTTGAGACTGTTTGCTTAGTGATTTTCTGATTATGGGTGTCACAGCAGTATGGAGTGAAATATTTGCTGAGGGAGGGGTGAGGTGGGGCACTGTTTTGATTTGCTGATGAGATTAAACTTGCTGACTGCCTCTGAATTGCAGGATTCCGGAGCACTTGCTTGCTCCTAGGTTTAGATGTGGGCCAGCACACCACCACTCCATTGCTCCTTGATTTCATTGTAAGAAAATACATGATTAAGAGACACGTGGAGTAGCTGCAGCTTTTGGAACAGAGGGAAGTCAAGAGAATGGGAAACCGTGAATTGTGGCAGACACCTTCACCATTTCTGGCGAGATAGAAAGAAAACATCATAACTTACTTCCTCCTGACCAGAACCTGGATACTGTGAAACATTCTTTTCATTATCTCCATGTTGAATTGTAGCAATTTGCTGGCTTTTACAGGAAGATTAATTCTGGTACGGAATGCTTGGCATACCTCATTACCAAAGATGTGTTCTGCTGAGATCAGTTCTCTGTTCCTTGCAGATAGGAGCCATTTGTTAGAAATTTTCTCATTGCCTACAATCTCCCACTGTGCAACTGTAGTCATGCCGTGTTAAGCAGAACCATGTTTCACTGTCAGATGCAAGCAAAGCAAACTTTCTTTGCAGTCTGAGCTWAGAGATAGAACTTCTTGCCAGAAGCCCACTAGACTCCTCCTGAGTGTGGTAAGATTTCTATCTCAATCAAGTAAGCAGTAGCATTTGCAGACTCCATTCATGCTTTTCTGATTTGAAGTTTGATTAAGGGGAAAGAAAAATAAATCTTGCTGCCTGCCTCTGGGTTTTCATACAATGCTCAGATAGGAGACAGCTATTTCAAATAAACTGAGATTGTGTACATTGTTGCATATCTTAACTCCATGTCTGTACAGTTCAGCATTTAGAGTATAGAATTTATATTACCTTAGGCTTTAATGTGTGCTTRTGAAACATATTAAATATCTACATTAAACATGCTGGCTCTCTGTAAGATTATCTGATATATAAACCATAATAATTTTATTGAAAATATACTTTTTTTATCCAGGGATAATATTTCACAAGTTACAAAGCTGTCTGATTTTTCTAGCTTGAATTTATCTTACCAAAGTCTAGACTCCATTGTAGTCTGCAAAGAGAGCTTTAGAACCCTGAGGAATGAGGGTTTGAGGAAAAGCATCCGATATAATGGGTTAAATTCACCCTCTGGAGATACTGCCTTCTTTCCACAGTGTACAACACAGGCAGCAATGGTGGGCTTAGACAMCACACCTGGCTTTGTGGTGGCCAGAGCTGGACCAGGTTAGCTTCCAAAATACCTTCCAAAAGCAATTAAACAAAGGCAATACTCCAATTTCAGTCATTTCAGCCTTAAAGAATCTTTTGTTTTCTTTTGGGTATTTTCCCCATGCACCTGGAAACCTGCATTTAGCTTCCTTGTTTTTGCTTCTCCTTCTATCTCAAACTTAAAAACAATAGTTATTTTTGATGGCAGGATGTGATTTAGTCTGAATTACTCTTTTAGTGGCTATGATTTAGTGTGAAAATTTTGATTAAATGTTCCCTTGTGTTACTCACAGGAAATCTATAGTGCTTTCAGAATTTATTACAGAATAGAACACGTGCTGTTAATCAGGAATGTCCTGTAGTCAGGAGGAGTACGTGTGGAGATGATCTCTTTTATACTGCGGCATTGAAGCTAAGCTGTGGTATTCTGAGTAAGAACAAAATTAATTCTGGAAATTAGAACTGAATTGGCTGACAAATTCAAGTCTGATGGACCAAATACAGCTCAGTGGAACTTTGGGTTAAATACTTAAACATAGAGAAGCTAGGTACAAGAAATAAACTTCTCATGTTAACCTGACATTTGCATGCAGTTTGGGTGTTTYAAATATGCTGTCTTTACATTGCATTAGTGTTTGCCATTACATTCTACCATTTCAATTTTACTGTTTTGAAGGTTTATAAAGTTTTTATAAGTTACAGGTATTTAGGCCTGAAGTTATATAAGTTTTACACTTCAATAATATTGTGAAATAACTTGCAGAATATCTTCAGAAAGTGGCAGCACTGAAATGATCTTTGCTTATCCTTGTTACCTGCTGCCCTTTAAGCAGTGTTTCATGCTGTCATTTAGAAAAGATTCAGGTTACTTGAATTTTGGCTTCAGATCATCTTTTCCTAAAGTCATGAACCTAGACTGCTTGGATAATTGAATTTTCTTTGTTAGGTTGGAACTGGAGGACATAAGTCATAAATCAGTCAAGTAATATAATTTATCASGTGTCACAGCTACTTCTCTCTTATTTAGAGCTGTATTACTTAGCTACAGGCTAGACTAGGGAATTATTAAACTATGTGCTTTATTAGAGCCTCACTTTTAAGGCAGATTAATTGAACTTGGCTGAGAGTGTTGAAGTTTTCAAGCAGAAGCAGGCCAACTCAAGTCTCACTACAGGCTTTTGCAAGGGCCTGTTTTTTTCTCCTTGCTAGTCAGGGCAGGTGACATTCATGTTAACTTATCTCCAGAAAGRATTAATTTCTTGTGTATTTATGAAGTTATTTCAATTCAAACAAAAAGTTTTAAAAAATTACCTAGAAATCATCAAATCATCTTGGTTTAGATTAGAATTATGAAAATTAATTGGGCAGTTGTTTTCAGTTATATGTGCATTAGTAAATCATCAGCAGAGCAGTACTAATTTCTCAGTAATTTTACTGATACTGAATAAAGCAGAAGAGGTTAAAATGAGAGGAGTCTTCTGTTTCCGTGTCAGTTCATATCATCTGTCTTCCCTGATTTTCTCTGATCTTAGAAGTTGTTGGTTATTTTGTCTACAAAATCACTGTGATTGCTTTTATTGAAGTTTTTGTAGTGCTTGCTTTCACTCATGGACCTTTTCACCTTAGAGAAGCACAGCTGCYTTTTTAAAATTGTACTGGGATCAAGTAGTTAAATCCCCTTTTCTAGCCTCAGTTTGCAGCCATTTATTACCTGAGCACAACTTCTGAGCAACTGAAAATGAGCCTCTTGGTAAGCTGCAAGCAGAATTCATGCTTCCAGTTGTTCACAGGGCTCTGAGTCAGTCACAGCTTTCTGAGAACAATTTAGTTTAGAACATTTGAATGATGAACCTGTCATAGAGGTCAGATCGAAATTTGATTTACAGATGTTCTGTCTGTCTTGAGAAAACTATTCATTGATGCTRTTGATGGTGCTATGACTAATCAGTCTCTTTGCAGATTTTACAACTATTTCTGTAGATGGGCTTTAAATAAGAAGAACTAAGGTTTTGTTTTGGCAACTAGGGTTTTGGTGCTACCATGATGAAGGCATTGGCCCTCACATCCTGGTTTGKCTATCTATTTTTATCTTGGGGGCAATAAGCTGAGAAAAACAGCTTATTGCCAGGTTTTGTTGGGTGGCACAATCTAGTTTCTGTACCTGGAGGAGGATTTAGAGCAATCTGAAAGTGGCCCAAACTGCAAACAGAAGTGACAAGGAAAGAAACCACAGTTCAATGAAAAAAAGTCAGGAGTTTTCAGTTTTGTGAACTTGCTCTGAAAGATTACAATACTTTTCTATTTATGCCTTCTCCTGTCGAATTTGATGTAATCTGTGATATGACTGGGACTCAGTTTTATACACATACTTACTTTCTGAAGGAATTTTGCTTGAACAAATTCTACARTGTAGTCTTTTGGTTAATTTTGCATTGTCCTCCATCCCCTCTACCACTTCAGTTAATATACAGGACTTCTCAGCTGCAGGACTCAGCARCCCAGGACTGGGTCCAGCACTCCAGATGAGCTCTCTGTTTGAATAATACTAGGATAAGGACAGTGTATTGGATATCTGTCTGAGGAGAAAATTCTTAAAGCTTCTTTATGAAGACTCTATTAATTACTGTAAAACTGTGAAAAGAGTGGTCCTTATAAAATTTTTTTAATGCTTTGGAAGGAACAAAACTCAGGGAAACGTTTGCTGCAGACCAAACTCCATGCTGAAAAGATTCTATGGAATATTTTTCCGTTTCAGAATTAAACTACCTTAGAGCTTTCCCTTAGAAGAATCCTCTCCCCAGTCCCCAATTTAAATCACAAGAAATCTAATACCATTGTGTCAGATAAGGTCACCCATTTTCCTTAGGACTTAAAAAGCTATACATTTTCTGCAAAAATRTCTTCAAAATATCCTAGTATTGTTAYGAAGTGATATACCCTGCAGTGATTTAYGAATGAAATGACTGGCAGTCTTGTCCGATTAATAATTTTTTCATTGTGTGCAGTGCTCTTAATTTAATAACTTAAAAAYCCCCTTGATTTAGAATTTTGGTACAAAAAATACTATTATTTTATTCTCACAGCTCACTGTGTGTGTAAGCTGAGCATTTCCATGATCAGAGTGATACAAAATTGCAAAAAGAAGGGTCTTACAGAGCAGGAAGGTGGACCTGTATTCATAATTCACATTCTATTTCTCTGTACTTGCTCCCTCTTTTGCATTTGAATGTATGTCATGTTTTTTTGAAATGCTGCTTTTAATATCTGTGTAATAGAATCTGGCTCAGCAGGAGAGAAATAGTTACCCTCTGTAATTCCTRAGAGGTTTTATCCATTTTTAGTAATTTTTATATTGCAGTTCTGATGTTTTCTTGTTAATTTCAAGTTTCTTATTACAAGTATTTCTGTGTCAATGCATTATCATTTCAATATTGCAAGTTACCAAGTGTTGAATAACAATATGCAAACCCTCGTCTGCTTTGGGATGATTGTGAATGTATKTCTTGGGGAAGAGCTCAAGCAGTGTTACTAATGCCACAGCCATGGGTGGAAATAGGATGGGCACTGCAAATAACAGGCTCCTCCATCATGGTTATGCAGAATGCTCATCCTGTTCAGTCTAGGGCTACTGTTGCACGGATTCTTCACAGTATTATCTCTTTTTTCACAGCATTGCTGGGTACATCTTCTGTTTCTTCATCTCCATTTCATACTCCCATAGTGCCTATGCTTGTGGGTAGGGCACAGAACAATTTCTTAAGAATAGACATTGGTGCTGCTGTTAGAGCTGCAGACMATCCCCTGCATTTCTCCACTCTTGATGATACAGTTCATCTACACTAATGTTCACAATTCTGAAACTCCCACGCAGAGAGCCAGCCACATCCTCTGCTGGCTCAAGTACCATTCTCAGGACCTTCTCTCATCACAGCTACTTAAATAACTACTTGTAATAAAAGCAGCAGTTATTGGCCCTTCAGTCACAGAGTTTCCAGTAATGCCAGTGCTGGGAAAGGTGAACTGCTTTGGCAACAGCAGGAAATCCCAGTAGTGTTGGTGGAGATGCTTAGTAGTGATGCTTACAGGTAAGGCTGCAGCTCAGGAGTGATTTCAGTTTTGTGCTTAGTACAGTTGAGGGAGTCTTTTCCCATGCAGGACCAAGCCCAAAAGTGACAAAGATACTCAAATGCACCACTAATTATTAGAACTGCACCCAAGGCTGTATCCAGGTGTTGGTTGTATGCTGTGAACAAGATCTGTTTGTCCACTTTCACTGAYAAATAGCAGACTTCATCCATTGCTATTTAATCTAATGCATCTTCTCTGTACTAAACTTACTTAGAAAATATGTTTTCCACTTGCCAGATGGTTATTTTAACAAGAAATATTCTATGGCTGATTTACGTAGCTTATATGTGGCTTGGAACACTTCAGCTCAGTGGAAAATAAACTGGTTTTAAAAGAGGTAAAACATTGCTCTTCTCAAAAGAGCAGTTTTGCTAGACTTTGTGGAATTATTGGTGGACACTGTCTAAAGTTTGAATAATACTAGGATAAGGACAGTGGACTGGATACTCGTGAGCCTCTGTGCACAGCCAGCAGCAATGGAGGTGGGCTGGGTAGAACAAGTGAGCAGAGCCCTGCAGAGGAACCAGGGGAGAAGCTCAATGAGTGATCACAAAAAGCTCAATCCTGTGTCCTTTGTCACCTTCTTCCTGTGAAACAGAGACAATAATATCTATGTTATATATTTGGAGATTTTCTGATGGTAATTCCTGTGTGAGAGGGAGATAATATTTATCATTCTTAGGTAGAGAGTAAATTGTCTAGTTCAGTCGATACAGCCATAAAGTTTTAACTGAAGTGTTGGATCTAACTCTTTGCTCTAGTTCTGTGCAAGTGATTATGAAATTTTTATTGTGGAAGAAATTTTTGAGGTGAAACTCAGGTCTGGATTGTGAGACTAAAGGAAAAACCCATCCTGTTCATATTACTTACTTTTAGAAGCCTAGGAGTAAAGAGGGAAAGGGTGTTTTGGGGTGAGATACTGTTTTCATTCAATATTACTTTTTTGGTCCTTATTTTATTAGGATTGTCAGGAGATTTCTTGCGTTCTGGACGATACTCTGCTCACACCATCAATGGTGCCTGGTCWCCCTGGTCACCCTGGTCTCAGTGCAGTCGTGATTGCAGTAGAGGCATCCGGAATCGCAAACGGGTCTGCAGCAATCCTGAGCCCAAGTATGGGGGACTTCCTTGCCTTGGCCCATCTCTAGAGTACCAGGAATGCAACATTTTGCCTTGCCCAGGTAAGTTTCAAATGAAATTAAAGAAGTAAAAACAAAGTAGCTCACCCTCAAAGTTATATCTTGCAATATTTCCTTTGTTGTTTTTTTTTTTCTTTTTCTATTTTAGTTGGTGAATTTTGGGTTTGTTTTTGTTCTTAAATCAATTACAGCTCAAGTTCACATTTATAATGTAAGTGGATTTGGGTAATATTCTTGTGTGATGGCAATAAATTTATCATCAACAATATTAATAGCTATGTCTTTCTTCACTTGTGAGACTGTAAAAATATCATTTTAGTAGGKAAACTTATAGGAAAGGAAAAGACAYAAGAATTCTGGCAAGACATGGTCTTTATTTAAAATCAAAATGTCATTTTCATCAATGTGGTTGCTGGCATTAAGTCTGTGCTAGCATTTAAGTGTAGAGCCACCAGTAAATAAGGTTCACGACTGATCACCAAATTGAATGGTAATTCAAGTAGGCCATAAAGATTGTTCTTGGAATCTTGAGTTTCTCCTTAATTTAAAGTTRTTTTATGATTCTGTGAAAGGGATTACAAGTAGAAGATATGTTTACAAGAAACTACTTTGGATTAAAGGTCATTGTTGTATCTCAGACACAGAGGGAAACAAAAATCTTGGTTTCAGTCTCATCTTACCCTTCATAAAACAGACATTCCAACTGAAAGGCTTTTGAGCTTTGCAGAGGCTTTGTGGGAAAAGAAAGGGGAAGGACAGAGGAGAACACATGAAGGAAAAAGGTGCTATTGGTTTAGGAGGAAAGAATTCAGGGTAAGAAACAATAGAGGAAGAAGAAAGACTGCTAGACTCAGTTCTTCCCAGCAGCAATGAGTAAATTTAGAAATAAGTTTTCATACATCTTTAATTGTATTAATTATGTATAGCAGTGCTGCATATTTTCTTGTTGAAGACTTGAAGCTTTTGTCATTTATCCAAGTGTAAAACTGAAGAATTACTATGTCAATATATATATATATATATATATATATATATTACGTATGTGTATCACCATCATAAAACATACGTGTGTATGAACTTATAAAACTGTATGCCCTAAATCATGGATACTTTTTTTTTTTTTTTTTTTTTTAATATGCAATCTTATTGCAGTGCTTTCTCTAAGGTTTTTAAGCCCTCTAACAGTCACTGTCCATTCTTTGAATCAGAATCTAAGCAGAAAACCTGTGCAGAAGACACCACATCCCTCTCAGGAGGACACAGTTTCTTGAAAAGCATGTTTCCATCTTGAATGAGCCTAAGCAATGTGTTTTGGCACACARCCTACAAATCCAGAAGCTCTGTGTGCCTTCTGGCTGTTCACTGAAAGCAAATTTCTCTGCAGGGTTATTGCTAACAGGAACAGTARGATTGTTTGACAACTGGAGTGCCCTGAGGCACTCAAGCCCTCAGCTGTCCTGCTCCTGGGGCAGATCCATGGGGAATTTCTGCTGAGGATCCCTGTTTTGATCTGGGAAAATGCCCATGCAGTCACTGAAGTTCTGAAAGAGACACTTGGTCACAACAAGCCAGCACTTTCTGGCATTTTTTTTGCTGTATCCAAGGAGGAAAGCAGCTTCAGTTGCTCATTGTGTAGCTTCTCTATCTGGGAGCGTGAACATCTGAGGAGATCAAGGGAAGAGACRAAGCTTCTCCCTGAATGTAGAGACATGAGCAGTGAAGGGCATTCACGTTTTCTACACTAAGCACTATTGGAGAGAGGTGGAAGGGAACCAGCAGAGAACCAGCATTTTTGAGAAAATTATAAAATTGTGATCCAATTCATCTCCATATTTGCGCAGCCCTAGTGCATGCTCTGGTTCATTATCTCCCAGACTATATTCATAACGCCTTGCTTTTTCCAGGATAATRAAATTATAAACAATTCTTTTTAATGTAACTGCACTGTCCTCCTAGTTTGGCAGTAGTTAACTAATTTAAAGATTTAGAAGACCATTGTATCAATGTGTGCAAGCCTCCCAGGGATGCATGCAGTGAAACAAGCTAGAACATAGCAACTCTTCATGGGCTCCTTCTTCCCTTGCAAAGGAAATTTCTCTATAGGATACTGCCTTCAGCTTCCTTTGGTCCAGGAGGTTTGATATAAGGTATCAGCTCTGCTCACAAGCTGAGGTAAATGATTGTGCTGTTAATACTGTTAATACTGTAGTAACTGGAGTGCCTTCATTAARTGGGCCTAGATTGTCTATAAAACAGGGCCAGATTTGTTCTTCATCCCTTGCTGTTGATTTTCACATTAAATGGTGTCTWGGATTTTGTCGTTTTTTTTCAAAGTTAAAATAAATCAAAGGTTTTCAGAAGTGGTATTTTTATTAAGCTCTGCAACTATTCACTTTTACATTTTTGAAAGAAATTATTTTAACCAGTGAAACATGCTTATAAATTAATTGTAGAGGTCTTAGCTGCTTATGAGATAGACAGTAGCCCAGACTAAAAAATGTGAAGTTGTAAGGCAGAAGTTGAAACTGTGCTTTGAATTTGAAAATACTTTAAAAGATCAGTTGATATACACTATAGTAGGCCTTTTTGAAGGAAGAAGTGGTGCCCTAATCTATCTAATAATTTTCTTTAGAGACAATTTTCGTTTTCCTTTTAGCACAAAGCAAATTTGAATAAAGATATAGAGAATGAATGAAGCATTTAGATGTATCATAGCCTGCAACAAAGAACCACAAAGTTCCTCAGCTACAGAACTACTGTTTGCCAGCAAAAAAACATAGGAGACTAAATCAAACTGCTAGTAAATCTAAAGGGAGAACTTTGCAAGCACTAGATGTAATTTTTTTATTGTTTCTTTTTTTTGAGACATGGGAGATTGGAATGTTATTGCAGAATAAGGCTTATCCATAAATTAGACCTGATTATAAACTTTTAGGAAGGAAATACGTTATTATTGGAGAAGCACACCAATAAATTTGAATTCTCTTAATTTTTAATCAGAGAGACAGAAAGGTTAGGGAATGTGAAGGGATTTTGTTCTGACCTTGACTTGAAATTTATGAGATTTTCCATAGTACTAGAATTAAAATTACAACATAGAAGAATCTGATGCTCTCTAAGATTTTCCTGAGTTCTCCCAGGGCAAGGACAGCTTCACCTTCTCCCTTCTGGCACAGAACCCTTTAGTTTCAGTCCAGCCCAGTTATTATACTTCCAGGAATATTCTGGTTAGCAGGAAGAGGTGTGATRGCAGCCATAAAGAACCCTTTCTGCTACTTCAATCTCAGGTTCTGCTTTTCTTCCTCTACTGGTTACTGCAGACAGGATCAACCCCTCATGCTGTAAACTGCTGAGAAAGRGGAGTGATGCAGAAATATACTGAGCAGTGTTTAGGTCATGCTGAAAGTCAGCAGGACTTTATGCTTCTCAGGGAATTAATCTGGTCTCAGTGTCATCCTGGAAAATACTAAGTTCCCTGAAGGACTAACACAATGAAAAAGCCCATGGAGCAATCAAAGTGCACAAGGCTGTCGTGTCTGGTTARATGTCTTGCAACAGCATCTTAAATGTACTTGCTAATATATTAATAGACAGAAATTGACAGTTAAATGCAGGATCCCAAAACTTAGAAAAATTACTGAAGTCATCTAGAACCTGCCTTCAGTGAGTTGTATTAAACCTTTTTTAAACCTGCAGGGGAGAGAGAAACTGATTTTTATTTTTTTTCTGCAGCAGTAAATGGTCCACTGATGTGCAGATTGGTAGCAGTCACTGGGCCTTTTGTTCAAAGTACTTCAAGGCAGAATATATAACAGTAAATTGAACAGTGTTAGAAAATTGTCAGAAATTGTATCCAGGTCTTGGAAGATTATTTGTCTGTATTGTTCAAGTTTTAGAATGATCCCTCATGCAATCCATCATTCAACTAACTATCACCCTCCCAAATAATCTGCAGAAATGGTTTGTGAGTCAGTGCAGGGTGAATGTTCTCAGTRCTCAGTTTCCATCTGGCTAAGCTACTTTGAGGGGCAGGAGAATTTGGACTATTGTCTTGCTCTTGCAAATTATGCTTTGAACCTGTGCCTCAGCCCTTTTTTTATGTCTCAGAGATGTGAATAGCATTTGAGCTGGCAAGAAATGAACTGAACAGCTTCAATAACTATGGAAAGGATCTGTGAATGCTCACTGACATTTCTGTTTTCTTTGAGTTGCTAATATCTGGTCAATAATAAAGGAAACTAAAATCAGTCATATTAGGGTTTGTTATCCCTGGGGGTTTGCAAGATATTTATATTATAAAGAGGAAAAAGTGATGAAGAGGAATGTAGTTTGCATGGTAAATTCTGCAAATCTACAAAAATTACAGGAAWTTGCTGACCAAAAGATCTGTTTGCCTGATAATAATAACAACCAAACATAAAGAACACTGTCATAGTTTACAAATATATTGTTATTTCTGTAGAAAAAGACAACTTTTCTTCATCTGTCTTTTGTTTTGTTTCCTKTTGCCTTCTTTTATATTTCTTTGCATAGGGACATAGGGACACTTGGCCAATGTGCCTTAATTAGACATTTAAAGCACCACGGTGTGAGCACCACTGAATAGCATGAGATGCAGGAGTTCTTGTTCCCTCTTCCCTCAGAGCATAGTGGAGGATCAGAGGGAGAGGTCAGTTTCCATGTTTTAGATTTGAAATTCTGATACTTCGTGGCAATATTCTGGGATTTTACCAATTTCATCTTTTTGTTATAGTAGTTCTAGTTTAGTTTAGTTTAGTTGTGGCATTTTAGCTGAGAACTGCATAAATTCATATATCACTACACTTGCTAATAACAATAATGAGTTTCAGATATACAAAAATCCTTGAAAGACTATTTAAGTGCTTTATGCATCCCCTAAAGCCAGTTGCTGTTTATTGGTTTTATTTTTTATGATTTTTTTCTTCATTCTTGATTTTATTTCCTCCTATTATTTTTTTTCCTTTGAAGTCATACTTGGCCACAAGAAAACACAAATGTATTTTAAAGAATAAACTTTATCCTGCAGCAACTTTTTWAATCAGGAGGAAAAAGAATTACTTCAGTAAATGGGGACTGAAGCCCATCTCATAGCATACCCAGATCTCTCTAGGCTGCTTCTGTAGCCAGCAAGAAGAGGGGTGAACTGCTCTTTGAAGCAACTTTTCTAACTTAAAAGTCTCTTACTGACTTAAACCCAAGTGGACCTTCAGATTTTGTTACTTCTCTTTTCTTAGAACCATTTGTTTGCCTTGTGTTTCTGCACTGTTGACTGTTCGTTTCATCCAGCATTGCTTTTATGAATAAAAGGTATCACAGAATCAAGACTTTGCCTTTGTAGACTGTGATGCAAAAATTGCTCTTTCCCCACACTGAAACAGGCAGCAATATCCCATAGGAKTGGGAAAAGCAGTAGGCTAAGTGATGTGGAATGGGATGATCCCCGTGTGTCTGGRAGGGAGCAGTAGGCTGCCCAGCATGCAGTTTATAGAGGAGCCTGCAATTCTCTCTCGTGTATTCCCATGAAAGCAGGTGAGGTCAGCGTGTCTGCCCACGCTTCCTTGTAAAACCCCAAGTGCATAGCAGGGCATCCACTTTACTTAATTGTCTCTTGGAAATTCTCCAGTAGTGTGGCTGTTTTGTCATGTCCTCAGGAGATCCCATTTCTGTGTGTTGTTTCTTCCCAGTACATCCTCTTCCCTATGGCGTGTTTTTTTCATTACAGTGAAGAAACATTTATTAACCTCAACAATGGCCAGTAGGAAAAAAGTTGTTTGCTCTACTGTAATGGAAGGAACATTGTTTGATAGCACCCTGCTAGCTGAAGAAAGCCTTCTTCCTAAAGGAACTAACCTCAGCAACTGTCAGAAAATGCAAAGACTTTAAATCTTTCATTGTGGAACTACTTTAATAACTTTTTTTGTCCAACAACTCTACAAAATTGTTATGTAAAGAAACTGTAGTGAAGGGATCTTTCCTTGCCACTGTGCATTTTTCCTCCTATATGAGGCAGAAATAACATTAAGGACTCCATGACAAAATGAAAAAAAAGAAAAAAAAAAACCCTCAAATGGTGCTGTGTTGCTAAGCAACTTAGAGAAAGATGAAAGAAGCCACAGAGCTCTATTTAGGTCTTGTAAAAACTCAAGCAGTAAATACCCACTCCTTTGATCTTATTTAACCATGATGATTCCTTATTATCCTCTGTTGCTGAAAAGTTCTGGGGACAAATGAAAGAGGTAGTTACAGCAGTCCTTGGAAGGTTAGAGATTTAAGAATGCAGCCCATCAGTAAACAGTTGCCAAAAAARCCCAGTTTTAATTGCACTGCCCAGCTCAACTAGGGTCAAATCTAACATTGTCTATTATMTTTGTCCTTCCCCACCTTCCCTAGACCCAGTCCTCCCTTTACCTCCTAAGTCACATAGTACAGCCATAATTACTGCAGTTGTGGAACATGGTGACATTCCTGGGTGTCACATCAGTCTCCGTGATCTCGGCCACCTGGAGATCGATGGCAGTTTCAAATGCACAGGCATTTGTAATTCTCTCTCTGGTCCATTGAAAAATAAGTAGAAAAGTGTTGTGGGTCAGTGTCTCCATTACAGTGAACAAAGCACYGGTAATGTGTGCAGACAATTTATTTTCTGTATAGTCAATCTCAGGCAGAATCAATTCTGTTTGTGGAGGTCTATATGATGCAGCAGACATGCCTCTGATTATTTGTTTGAGCTAGTCAAAGATCATGTTAAAGAAAAAACAAAAGAGAAAGGGGAGTATTTAGAAAGGTAAAGCCTTAATATTATATGAAATGAATGGCTTGGTAGGAACTTCTGCTTTTATTTGACATAATTTAAAAAGAAGGGGGAAAAAAAGCAAGTTCTGAATAAAAGATAGCCATACCATACCATGTGTTGAAATTGTTATAAAATTGCACAGGATATTTCACCTGAACTGGAGACAAATAACCTGTGGCTTTCTAAGATATGAGTTTGCATAATACTGCATTAATAGAGTTATCTCAGGCAAAAAGACATATTTGTTTTCCAGCAAAAAGTATGAATAAGAAAAACATGAGTAAGAGAGCAAGCCAGATATTCTGCCTAGATGTAGTATTTATTTATGATGGGTGGTATAAAACACTCTCATACATATGTATAGGTAGATGATTTGGTGTATGATGCAGCAATCATTGAATTCCCTAATAATGGAAATAATTTATTTAAATTGAATACTTGGAATATAGTACCAGATTACAGAAATCCTGTCTGTCGAATCAAGCTTCGGAGTCCAGATAAATTACTTGCAAAAGTTTTCACAACTTCTGTTCTTAGCAAGGAAGTGCCAAGTCCATGCTTTCTTGATGTTTAGGATGGTGTTGCAAATAAACAATACAGGGAATAAAATGCTGCATGTTCAACAATTTAAGTTGCAGGATTAGTAAATAATCTTAGGTATGCAATAGTGAATTGCCTCTGATTAGCAGTTGGAAACCTGAGGCTACCCTGCATGTGAAATTACATTAAAAAATACATGTATAGGTTTTGATATCAAAATTCTCCTAGCTCATTTTCTCACTATTGAATACTTTGCATAGAAATCACTCTACTCAATTCACCAAGTGCATTTGTGATATGCAATCCTGCAAGGCCAAAACAAATATTTTTCAAATGTTCTACATCTCCATCTAAGAGAGAATCTAAATGCAAATACCACGTAAAAATTTTCATTGTGAGCTAATTTTTTTAAGATTTGTGACCTTTTTTTTCTTTTTTGGTAAGAGATGAAGATGGAATAGCACTTCAGTAAACTATCAGAATCTGTCACTTGAAAGGGAATTTCATTAGTTAAAAAGAAAAGATCAAAAAGACATGATAAATAATTTACTTCCTTAAGAATTCAAGTGATAACACTTTAAATAGATGTGTGAAAAGAAATTAATTTGTTGTAGAATATGAAAATTTTGAAAGTTTAGGTTTTTGTCCTTTTTTTTTTAAAAAAAAAAAAAAAAAGATAAATGAAGAAAACACTGAGTTTCTTTGCCAAAGGAACACTTCCCTGCAACTAGAACATCTGACTTTGTCATGTGGCTACATAGAGCCTTTGGCAGATGGGCTGCAATGTGGGTATAAATACGAGAAATACATCCTGGAGCAGTAACTTTAAGAAGAGAGGCTCAAAGGAGCCAGACTGGTGCAGGCAATAAGGTGAACTTTCATTTAAATCTTGTCCAGTGGCAATGTGTCATAAACCATCTGACAAATGGGTCTCCCATGAAATTCAGCCTACATTTCAGAGGAATGTTCTGAAAACTCTGACTATAGAATAGTCTGACATACTTGTGTTAGTAAATACAGAAAGGGGCAGKGAGGGGAATGTAAGTAATAATATTTAGGGGAGAAAGCAAATAATATTTTTCTTCAAAAACTTGTCTTTGAAACTTAAAGTGACTTTCTGTCAATGTGTGTTGCTTTTTAAAACTTCTGATATTGTTTGGCTGCTTTCATCTGTGGTAGAGCCGTGTTAAGATTGTAACATTATATTGGTCCATCAAACCCTACAACYGTGTTAGATCATTTGAAACAGGTTGTAGAGTTAGGGCAATTCACCTTTGTTGTGAAACAATTCTGGATTCCTCCATCTTTCTGTTGCTATTATTGGGCTAAGTTTTATTTATATCCATAAAAAAACTACTCTGAGCTTACAATATTTCTGCTAAACAATCTTTGGTATTTTGTTTCCTCAAAACTGAGACAAGAAAAGGAAAAGAAAAAGAACAGATTCATGCCCTTAAAGATATTGTGATAACCATCGAAAATGTCTTATATGGATGAGTAATTTCGTTAGGCTTTCCAGCATACATGGGGCTTTTAAAAYTAAATTACATAGTGATACGATTAAATTTGTGGGAACTATGTTCAGTGACAGCTAAAAATATCCAGTGATTTCAGTGGGCCATGAGTTAGACCCACGGAATGTGAGAAAGATGAGCTGGATTATGTCTTGTCTCCCATCAGCTTGTAAAAATACAGTATTCTTTGTGTTCCCAGTGGATGGAGGCTGGTCTTGCTGGTCATCTTGGTCAAAGTGCTCAGCRACCTGTGGAGGTGGACACTACATGAGAACCCGCTCGTGCACCAACCCCGCCCCTGCCTACGGAGGGGACATCTGCCTTGGCTTGCACACGGAGGAGGCGCTCTGCAACACACAGCCCTGTCCAGGTACAGCCGATCAGCCCATCCCTCTTGGCTCTTTATRTGTCCCTGAATGAGGCATTCCCACTTAGGCAACATGATGTCCTTGATCTATTATTTAGAAGCAAATAACTGCTCTCCTTTATGAAGTGCACAGTCAGCTCTTGCGTGCTACAATGCTACATTAAATCAAGCACAAGCAAAATATGTTCTACAGGACACTACCTCCTTCCTCCCTCTTTAAAAATTAAAATTGAAGTTACCATGGCTGGATCTGGATTAAAAGTAAAACTGCAATATTTGAAATGGATCATGCAAACAGTTCATGAGGCTTTTAWTAAAAATGTCACAAGGAAGTGCTTTTGTTACACCACCAAACATTCACAGCAAGCAAATTGCTGAGGTTAATATTCAACACATGTTATCACTAGGTCCTTCAAGTAGATAGTATTTGCCCTGTTTTCATATGAAACACAAAGCTAACTTTGACGGGCTTTGTAAAATCCCTTCCTCAACTTTGGATGTTAAGGAACAAAGACTTGATCTTTTTAAATGAGTGYGGAGTGCTTAGTAGATGAAATATCTCAGCACTCCTGCTAGTTCTATGACATTATGGATCATGTCTATTTCTGTAACTTTGACTCTGCCTTTTGACTTACACTAAAGGAAACTTACTTCTTTCTAATAAAACTTAAGTGAGAAATTGAGATTAAAACCATATAAACTTTCATTTATTGGTGATTAATGGATTACAGGCAACAACAAAAGGAAAGAAGCAATCTGCTGCCACATTGTATTACTTGCTTCACTTAGAGCACCTAGACTTCATAACAAAAGTTTTYTGCTCATATGATGAGGCTGTGCATGTGAGACCAATAACCCCATCAGTTTGTGTGAATTATATTACTTGTTATGATTATTTCCTTTTCTAGGCACAAAATGTCTTCCAGCAGAATAAAAGTACCTACTTTGTCAAAATTAAAGCCAATGCACCACTCTGTGTTGGGTTAAAAAAAAAAAAGCCAAGCACAGAAATCAGCTGATGATTTGATTTTTTGAGACAAATWGTGTACATTTGTATGTAGAAGTTGCACAGCTGCCTTGAAATCCTTAAGGCATCTTTAAAAGGTCAGAGCTGGAGTGTTSATTGTGTAGTATTGTAGCTATTTCTCTTGTTGTGCATTTATTTTCTACCACCATTTTCCTATAAGTAACAGTTTGCAAACATTCATAARTAATGTCTTCATCTTGTTTTGACCTGCCCATGACCCACGTTTTGGAGCAGAGGCAGGATGGAGGAGTAGGTTGGTTTCATTCATCTTCATTCAACAAAGGAGCCCATTACAAAACAATAACATTTCAGAGGCTTAAAATGTATTTCTCACATTCTGTAATATTTTATTAATATTTCAATCTCACTGAAAACTCGCCTTAGGTTTTTGAAAGAGCACATCATCCGCTGGCTCTGAGAATGGCCCTTGCCTCATGTTTACAATACGGATTTCAAAACTGCTTTTTACTGCCCTCATTCCACATTGGTATGGTTCAAAAATAACTACAGTGCCACGTAGATCAAGTTTGGACAGATGCCTGCAGAGCCATTTTCTTGTGGTGAGGACCAGGTGAAGAGTGGTTCTTCCTTGTGCAGATCTGAAACACTGCTGACATCCACTGCTTGAGTGACATGTACAGTATAAGAAGAGAATTGTAATGACACYTGGAATCTGAGAACAACTAACCAACACAGAAACACTTTTGCATATGCAAAATTGGAAATGATTTATAACATTTYTTACGTTGTGAAAAGAGTGAAGATTTTTTGGCATTTGAAATACTGCTTTTTTCTCCACCCCACCAAACAAAACTAGCAGAAAACTAAACTTTCTGGAATTCTGATACTAAAGATTTGTTGAGGATATAGATTTAATGGCAAATTCAACTGAAACATTCAAGTATGTACTCAAAAGAAAGTAACAGGCTTGTGTCTGCAAAACACATCAGTTTTTATCATGTTTCATTTTAAAAGTTGTCCCTGAATTTGAAGTTTTAATTTATCTAAATGCAATCACATCAATATGAAAGGAAGCACTGCAGTATTGATCAGTAGTGACTGATTATCAGTGAGTGCAACCAGTTGCAGTGATRTCTGTAATACATTGCATAAAACAGTATTTTGTACTTTAAGTATTTACTACTTCTGTAAGAGGTGAAAATGCATTCTGTCTTTGGATTGGTAACTCACACCTACAAATTTGGACAAAGCAGCTGAGCATTAAGAAATGGTGATGTAATTCTGCATGAAAGGAATTTATAATGTTTCATTGATTAATCCAATCTTTCTGAGGTGCCAYCTTCACCAAGGGACCTCTTAGGAACTGCTTTATCTTAACCTGGCTTCAAAGGCCAACCAACACTTTGTAGGAAGAAGGCGTGACTTRTCATGAGTAAGCCTTGCCATGTTAGAGGTGAAAAGCAGTTCCAGCTCAAACACCTCTCCAGTACACCCTCTCTTTTACATTCTCATGACTTTTGCGCAGAACTGAGGAGCAAGTTGAGAGGAGCCTGCCTGAGGTGTGAGAGAGCCTCAGATACTTTGAAGATATAGAAATGAAAGGAACAAGGCAAGATAGCTCAGTCAGTAGAAGAGCATTCAAAAGCTGTGGGTTCAGCTTCCCAGTGATGGCAGAGATAGTGGCTCCACAGAGGGCAAATCTGACAATTCAAAACCATACATCTGTTATCTTGGGTACCTTTATTCTCTGCRGCTCTCTGAGCTCCCCAAAACCTCCTCAAACCACAGGTTTGGTACAAGGAGCCACTGTTGCAGTGGTGCCCATCTGTTTCATGCTTGCACTGATGTTCCCCTCTCTTTTTCTGTGATTCTGTGTGCCAGACAGAGCTGATCAGCTCRGCACCATATCCAGGACTACCTGGAGTGTCTGGGTGAGCTGTGGGATTCACATAGTGCCTTTATGGGTCCCCTAAGGGGCAGGATGGAACAGTAACCTTTCCCAGTCACCTGTATGTGACACATACAGGTGTGTACTTTGCTTTTATCATGGGATGTTGCTTCTTCAACAAAGAATCTGGCAGGTAAAAACTCATTGGACAAGGTGGGGCTGTAGAGAACACCAGCCAACAAGATGCATTTAGGATGCCCACGAGTATTTTGGCACCTGCTGTGTATATCCCAATTATACCAGGAATGGACAAAAGTCTTGGCTCTGGTTTAAGCATGCTCCTGCCACCAGAGTGAACTGGGCCAAGATTTGTAATGAGCAACATTCCTTTAAACTTSAACGAGCAGGGCTTTATTATTACTACATATTGAGGGTAAAATCCATTATTTTGCATAGATCCAGCAGCTGACACTGGAGGTGATAGCAGCAGCTCCCAGATGTGCCACACTAAGTAAGCAGGAAGCAGCCTGTCCATTTGCCTGACTCCCACCTCAGCTCTCCTACTCCCCTGAATTAGGACTGAACTACATTTTGGCATCTGCCTCTGTGCTCCCAGTACCCACCCTGTAAATGAGGCTCTCCCAGGGCCTCTCCTAGGAGACAGCAACATCAAAGGACAGAACTGAGTATTTTTGCTACTCRCAATAACAAGATCCTACAAACTGATTGTGTCAAGATGTTTGTCCTGTTGTTCAAAGGAGGCCTCCAGAAAGTTGCTAATCGTTCATAAATATCAATATCCTGGCTCCTACCTCAGCTGCTAAGTAAATTCTCTTGATAAACAACATCAYGTTATCAACAACATGTTGCTTGGCATTTTTCAAGAGTGCAGTCTCAAATACCCCTGCTGGAGTCTGTTAAATTTTAGATTACTGAGAGTTTTAACTTCTTTCCTGTGTGAACAAGGGGAAAGTAATGGTTAAGTGTGAACCTGGAATTATACAATATATTGGGAGGGGCCCCAAAGAGTGTAAAAGTTTCTTGACTTTCCACCTGATTGACAGTGGAGAAAAGCTTCACTAATTCACAAATGTTCTTCAATCTAACGTGAACAAAATTTAGAAAATACAGTTCTTCATTTGAAACAAAATGAAATTTGTAAATTTGCTTCATATTGGCATAAAATCACTTAAAATTTTGACATAGAAACAAGTTTGGTTTGGGGTAGCAGGAATATTTCTTCCATATCAAAACCATAGAACCTGTCTCTGTGGGAAAGCTGACAGAAGAAAGGAAGTTTACCTGAGCTCTGTCTGTACTGTATTTGCCAAACTCAGAAGACTCCTAAGAAGGCAAGACTTGGCCTTGAGTTGTAAAAATGCTGAGCACAGTAAACTCATAGCACCCCATGGGAATGAGATCAATCCACTTCATTTAAGGAAAATATCTGAGATCACACAGGCATGAAATAAAAATATCTTAATCAAAGCTATATGAGGAGAGGAAGAAATATAGAAAAKAAATAGAAGGCAACAATCTACAGCCAAGAAATAGACCTGAAACAGCAAAAGCTAAAAAAAGAAAACTTTAAAAAAGTCAAGATACTACTATTTTTAGTAGTGGTTAAATGCACATCCTGTCTCAGATTGGAATATATACTCCTRTAGTTCTCAGTGCTACTCATCAGATACGTAAAAAAATGCAGTGCCCTTGCCCACCCTAATGAGGTAGACTGGAATTAATTCCACAGCAACCAGCCTTTCAGTCACCTCTGCAGAATCACTGGGCTTCTCACTTCCACACACAAAGGCCATGGCGGAAGCCAAACCCATGCTATGTCCGCAGCAAACGTACCATCCCTCTCCACATTTCAGAGACCTTTGCCAAAGCTAAACTGGCTTTGTTTTGTTGGAATGAAGAACCTGCCCTCTCTGCTCGATGATGGCAGCTGGGGATGAGGCCTTCTGTGCTAACTCAGGAATACAAGCTATTTCTGTCTCTCAGTGTCCTTGAATAATCCCAGTGTCTGCATGTCTGTCCCTCTCTGCCTGCTGCAGACAGCTGGTCCGAGTGGTCCAAGTGGTCAGACTGTGACTCGTCCGGCTCCCAGCTCCGCACGCGTCAGTGCATCATTCTGTTCCCTGTGGGCAGCCAGTGCACGGGAAACACCACGGAGACCCGAGCCTGCGCTGTGGACTCCAACTTCATACCAGGTGAGACCAGCCAGCTCCACCAAGGGTTAGTGAAATCTCTCAGGGTTTCAGCAGCGAGGGATGCCCCTGTTCCAGACTGCAGATCTATGAGCTGGAGCAGAGCTTGCCTTTAGTCAGCACAAGGATGTTGATCTACTGTGTAGAGATGATGTTAGATCTGATGTCTGCATAAAAATCTGTCCCACAGCACCCAATCCTGTGAGCTGTTCCCTACTGTCACTGCCTGGGACTTTGTTTAGTCTTCATCAGAGCATTCTGCAGGTCCCTCCCATTCTRCTTGGTAGCAGGGGATGAGTACAGACAGCAAGTAGAAATAATTTGCTTTTTATTTTATGTGTTTTTGAGACAAGGGTTATTAGAGAAACATTGCTCTATGTTTTGTAGTTTGCATGTATGAAAAGGGGTCTCTGGTAGTTAATCTGGAGGTAATTTTAGAGGGTTCCTTACATTAATAACTGCTCAGAAAGGTAAATGCTATTAACTTTGCCTCCAGTCCTTATCTCCCYCATGACCACTAAGTACCTGATGGATGGTTGGTCACGTTATGTATTATTCTATAGTATTTGCTGAAACTCATGAYTGTACTTTTGTTTTTAAATCGCAGCAGCCATTTAAATCCTCACAAAGATATGGGTGGTCACAATGCCCTGCTGTTAACAGTTGACTTTCTCCCTATGTACATTAAAAAAGCTAGGGTTCTTTTCACAGGCAGAAAAAATTTGCATTTTAATGTACCATTTAAAATGTAGCTGTGTTTAGTCATCGGCAGCCTTTTCTTTGTGTGGCTATGCAGTAAACTACAGAACAATATGAGAAAGATATCCAAAAAGTTAAATACTATTTTTATGGGTGGTGCATAATGCTTTAACTCCCAAATAGYATTTTCCTCTAAAACCATTGTGAAAAATGTCAATACAAAAGCAAAAACTCCCACATTGCATTTTCCCCCTTTTCTAAGGCTTTTGAAGCTCTATTCATATTCACATTCTCTGCATCCTCAGCTTAATCCAATATAAGTTCTACATCTTGTTTTGGAGAGTAGGCATTTTTAGAATCTGAAACAAGAAACCTCTTGTCTTGCCCTTCTGGTTTGTTTGCTGTTGCTCCTGACTTTACCAATAAAACAGCACATAAAGTCGTGCCTGTTACTCTCATCTTAGGGAGTCTAGTTTGGTTTCTTTGGTTCACTCAACTTTCTTTTACTCATCCAGGTCCTTTGACTCAAGGGTTTCCTCCTTAGCTCTTGGCTGAAAAGCCTAGTCCCTGCAGAAATAGCAGCTTTCCTCTGTTGTAAGAACTGGGCACRTAGTGCTAACCTGTTTTTATATCTTTTCCCTCACTTCATTTGTCTTTGTTATCGAGGAACCTAAAGTTCTGCTTTTTTGAAATCAGCTATACTGTGTCAGTTACCCCACTTGTATAYAGATGATCCTTGACCCTTTCAGAGAGGTTCAAGAGACTAATTTGTAAAGCAGAATTTTCCACCACAGAAGACATGGTCTGGAAGTAAAGAATGGAAAAACTTGATTGMCAACAGATTTTATATTGATTTTTTTCAGTATTTTCTCAGAATTTTTTCAAAGTCAAAATGATAAGGGTACAGATTGGAATTGCATTTTATTAGTTTACAACTGAGACCTGTGAAATTGGCATTCATCTTTTTCTAAGATGTGTAAATTCCCAGTTTTCACATTAGTGCTGGATGTGACTTCTAGAAGTAATGAGCCCATTTGAACGCAAGGTAATTAAACTGTAGTTAATTTTACTATTCATTAAATCAACTCTTCCTTCACATGCTTAAACTCCACAAAGAATTTTTTCATSTGCATTTCATCCTTTTAATTCAAGATATGTTTTGAGGCGAGAATTAAAATTAAGTTGCTGCTTTTGCTTGGGAAACTAAGGAACCTAAAGATGTCATGGGACCTTTCTATTAATTCTACCACATACCAAAATATTTTTTACTTTGAACATGAAGTGAATGTAATAGAATGCATTTTAAAATCCTTACTGTGTTAATCTAACTAGAAATTCTCTGTAATGTTTTTTCTCCTTGGCCTAAGTGGTTTATTTTTTCTTTTCTAGAAATATCTGTGGCACGATCCAGCAGCATAGAAGAGAAACGATGTGGCGGTAAGCTTTTCAGCTCAAGATGTGTATTAAAGGCTGAAATATTGATTCCCTGTTTTTTTGCTTTTGTTTCACCTCTTGCACTCCCTTGTTGTTATTCTACCATCTAAATGYTTCATTCTCATTATTTACACTTGTACAGAAAAAAAAAGTAGTTCCTTGTACAGAAAAATGTACAGGATTTCTCATTAAATATCCATCTGTCATTGGTGACCTTTGAAAGTAGAACATGCATTATTGGATGTTTGTATTTTCTTCTTTTTCAGTGTGGCWGTCACCATTGTATTCAAAAAGAAATATCTATAATAATCTAATATTCAGTTGGTGAAAATTTGCTGTTACTCCACCTTTTTCAGGATAATAAGTCCACAAACCTCTTTTGGACTTCAAATAAACAATGGAAAAGCAGTCTGCTAACCTATTTAATAGCTCAGATTCTATCTGGGACTCATTTTCATCTTCATTACCAGAGACTAAAAAGTAAACTAAAAACTAAAAGTAAACAAAAGGTTTCATTATGGAGAGTCGTGATGCTAGCAAAACAAATCATGAAATGAAAACCTCTTAAAACCACCAAACCAAAGAAGAAGAAGAAAAAGGAACTAGTTGTTTTTTGGTTTTTTTCTGTGCTGAGCTATCACGCTTAATCTGTGTAGTCATGGTAATAGCTCTGGCCAGTTCTAGTATTCCTCCATGCACAGATAAGCTGCATTTTTAACCTAATAAAGGACAATGAAAACACAGAGGTTATGCAAGGGTACTTGTGCATATGGTAACTTGTTATGGGAGCCAGAATAGTGTAATTTGTTTTTTTACTAATTTGCAGTGGTACTCTGAAAACATTTTGCCAAGTTCTGCAACACTGGGTAGCTCTCAATAAGGTGTAGAAGGATATTTCAGTGATTGATGTGCTGAAGCAGTCAACCGAGTCACCTAAATATTAGTTCATGTTTCTAAGTACTCAGTAGGCATGTAAAAAACATTAGGGTTTACAAAAAATGAGGACTATGTGCTGGCCCATTTCTCTGTATTACAATGAAAAGGATCTAACAGAAGTTTTTAAGACTAGCACCAGTATATCAGTTTATTAATTTGTGCATTTAGAYAACAAACAAATTTTCAGTCATTTTAAGAGGAAATTTCCACCATGAGCTACTCAGTGATATTTCTTTCCTAATCAAAAAGCACAGCTCCACTTCAAAATAACAATGGAAAGCAGCGTAATTTGTTTATTTTGAGCAAATCCTACTGGTGCCATACCTGACCTGGTGTCTCTGTTCAGTAACATCAGGGGACTATTGTGCTTAAGTTTCTCTTCTGCAGTTTCATGCAGCAATGGGCTTCCTCTCAGTTTTAATCCTTGCATAGGTGAAAGGGGTTTCCCATGGTCTGATCCCATTGTATCTTTGAAGAGCAGAGCAGATAGGAGAGTGCTGGGCTCTGAGTTGTTGATTTTGCATTCTCTGGCTGCCATGTTTAAAATTATATTGAGATTCAAGAAGWCTGTCTCTTGCCGCTTCCCATTTTCCCCTAAAATGCTACCATTTCTTCCTCAGTCCCCCTTATAAAAAGAAAAAAATTTAAAGAGCTGGAGAAGGGAACAAACTGGCCAAGATACAGAAAGAATGGTAATGAGCAAGATCCAAAGAAGGGATGGAAAAATGTGTGCTGCTGCTTCTGGCACCTGCATCCAGAAAAAGGGTTATGGAAAACATTTTAGGGAAAGCAGGGATGTGGTTCAAATATATCAGGATTTTGTTAGTTCTGCCACAAGTCACTGTGTAAGAGGAAGAACTGTAAGAGYAGCAGAGGAGGTGATATTATAGTTCACTAAAACAAAAAAGCAATGTATGTACATTATGTACATAATTTATATATAACAAGGCTCTGTTGTACAGCATGAAGAAAAAAAATTGATGAACTATTCAAACATACAGAATGCAAATAATTTTTCTTTTGTTGTGTTCTGAACTTGTTTACACATCTTTCAAAGATCTCAATACTTGCAGAGGTGTATGGATATCTAAGATTCTTATCAGGGTCCCTTCAGGGAAGTAAAATGAATTTACTACTGTAGGGATAAATCATTGCAATTGAGATGTTTGAAGGAAACACATGAAGGTTCCCTTATCCYTGTTTGAATCAAACACCCTTCCACATTTTCCCCCGAGCTGAAGCTTTTATTGCTACTGCCTTAAAATTAAGATGGTCTTCTCGTCCCCGCTCTGCAGAGTTCAACATGTTCCACATGATCGCAGTGGGATTAAGCAGCTCAATACTCGGTTGCCTTCTCACCCTGCTTGTTTACACCTACTGCCAGCGCTACCAGCAGCAGTCCCACGATGCCACTGTCATCCACCCGGTGTCACCCGCTCCGCTCAACACCAGCATTACCAACCACATCAACAAACTGGACAAATACGATTCTGTAGAAGCCATCAAGGTGAGCACAGGGCTGGGAGCTGCTCTGTACACCTAGACAACATTTCTGATGTAWCAAAAGAATGCTCCTCGCTGCTTTTCCGCAGTGGCATTTGAGCTCAACTTACGCTGATTGTTAATGACAAAAGTAGATTTCATTTGAGGTATTGCAATTGCAGATCCTTCCACTTGTCAATCCCTRTTAGGCAGGAAGTTGGATTTTGCACTGTGTATGATTTATACAGAAGCCTTTCCTGGAAAAAAGCTCAAGTTGTTTTGTGGGAATTTTTTTCCTAATTGTGTTCCCTAGAGGATTGTTCAAGAAGTAAGTAAGGCCATTAACAATCACCATGGCATCTACTGAAGAAAATCCTTTGGCTCTGATCATCCAGTGTCAAAGGCACTGTTCATCTTCCTACCCTGTGTCTCTACACAGGAGATGTATCCTGTGAATATATTCTGGGTCAGACTCTCACCTAGTGTTTGTACCCAAACTATTCTATGAAACAGCAGTACAGACTTTTACTGAGAGTCTATAATGATATCCATACTATTTTATCATTATTCCCAAATTGCTGTTTTCTTTTGGTGACCTTTTAAAATAACTCTGCTTTTCAGATACACTGAATTAAGGAAGGATGTGCAGTCTGAAAATAAAAGTTCAGTAACTTCAGATTACACAGTTTATTCATGCAGCTGCAAAGCTTTTTTGCAAATGAGGATTTTTCTTAAATCCTACCTGGATAATCTAGTTCTTAATTTCTGCATTTTTCTTTGTAATTAGAGACATTTTAATGAAATACATTAAGAACAGCAAGAAAAGTCCAAATCTTCTAGACAGCAGTGGAATATGAAACTAATTTAAAGCTTTCTCAAATTCCACTAATCATCTCTCTGGATAGTTACAGAAAAAAAAAAAAAAAAAAAAAAAAAGAAACAATCCTTGGAAATTTCATATAATAAAATAAATACCCATCAAATACCCATATTACTTTTTAAAAAAAAACAGGATTTATGCTCTTAAGGCCTTCAGACATTTCTGGCACTTGGAAATCGGGGAATTAATGCAGCAAAGAGAAAATAATTGTTATTTAGTAAAAAGATATTATGACTCATTCTAATAGGAAGAACTGCATATGTATGATTAAAAAATATTCATAGAATCATAAAATTAGTTTTGTAATATTGGGGAGGGAAATGCCTGGCTTAATTAAGTGGAATTGCTTTCTTTAAGAATGTCATTATGTAAGAAGATACTTCTTGCAAATGCCAGTTTCTGTAAATGTACAGGTATTTCTCACTGCATTTTTGACTGGCTTATTATACACAGATATTTGCCACAAAAACTACCTCAGTGAAAGATCACATAGTGGTTACCTTTCCTATGTTCTTTTCCTTTTCTTATTTCTTTTTTTTCTTTTTCTTCCCAGGCATTTAACAAAAACAACCTGATTCTAGAGGAGAGAAACAAATACTTCAATCCACATCTTACTGCAAAGACTTATTCTAATACCTATTTTACAGATTTCAATAATTATGATGAATACTAATGGGCTTGTGTATTTTCTGGCCTCCTGTAACTCCCCAGTCCCCAAGGCCTGTGCAACTTGAGTGCTCATGTGATTGAGGCTTCAGAGATGAAGTTCAGAGACATTTCAAGCACGATCCAAGCCATCAATGTCCCATTGCTGCCAAAAGCCCAAACCGCCTGTTTGTGACATGATGTTTTCTTCGCAGAATGCAAGGTTGGCCTTCAGTGTCAGGGGCAGCTGTAGCCCCTCGGTGTTGCTGGACCACTCATGAAGATTGCGTTGCTTTGCTCAGTTTCATAAATTTCCACTCCAATTTCTCTAACAAGAGACTAAGTAATTCCTGAGTTTTAAAAAGAAATAATAATGTTGCCCCTTACACCTGTGCCAGGAGAACAAATCTAATTTTCTTTTTAGGCGTTGTCTTTTACTTCCTTGGGGTTTCAAAAGGGAGCTTTGCTGTTATCCCTCTGTGCAGTCTCCTGAAGCTCACGCCACCAAGAAGAGCTCACAAGGTGCTGGGGATGACAAAAAGAATTGTGGTGGTTTAGTGATCTCTGCAGCAGCTCTGGGCTCTGTGGGCTGATCTTCCTGGGCTGTAAATCACTCTGGCTGCAGTTCAGCTGCTCAGAGTGCAGAGAAGTGCTAAGGCTGGAGCGAGAGATACAATCTGGTAATTAACCCGGACACCTCCAGGGTCAGTGGTTTCCAGTGCACGCCGAGCCCGCTCGCATAAAGCCTTCACCTCGTGCAGTTTAATTTTTGAGAGGGGGCGGAAGGGCATGTCCCACAGGGAGGCCGAGGGCGGAGAGCATTGGGAGAGGCACACTGGGAGGTTTTTCAGTACATCCTTRCTAAACCAGCCTTGCTGCAGCACACGGTTTGTGCTGGCATTCCACAGGCTCCCTGTCCCTGGAGYGTGGAGCACACTGGTCTCTGATGCCTGCGGCACTCGCCACCAGGCTGGCCACACAACAGTACGASTGCACCGTGTTTTGGGTGCCATCTCTGGCTCTCGGGGCTATGTAGGCATAATCGTAGGTCTGCTTTTTCCTTTSCAGCTTTTATTTTATATGCACGTGTCCGACAAACAAAGCTGGCTCAGAGAATATGGATATATTTGCAAAGGGCTGTCTCACCTTGCTGCCATGCCTGACCTGCATCAGTCAGCCCCTAGAAGAACATTCTTACGGTGTTTTAAGTGATGATCTTGTTGGACTTCATTGATGTAAATATTTAAAATACTGTTTGAGTTTTAAGTTATCAGTTTTAATTCCTTTTTAGTGGTAGATGAGGAAACACAATGTTTTATACCATTTTTCTTTGTTCTGTCTTCACCCACATTCATGACATAGTTATTTTTGTATCTGAAATTCCAGATGTATTACTAAAAAGAAAATTGCAGRGATTTGAGACAGATTTTCTAGAGTATATAGTAGAAAGGAAGCATTTGCTATTATCAAATAGCAAGGAATTGTTARAAGCAGCTTGTGAGAAGAAATTAAAAGTGACTATTAAGGATTAAAGAATTGGGCTTTCATTTTCTTGCTAGAAGCAAAGGCATCRCACTAGAATGCTAGGGAGGTATGCAAGGAAAGTCAGAGTGGAAATGTTTCCATTCTCTTTAGAGCCCTTGCTAATTAGGTTATGTTRTGATAGGCAAATACAGAAAAAACATGTTCAGATTATAATGATCCACAAYTACATAGGAAAAAAAATCAAAAAGTACCAAGAAACACATAGCAAGGGTAAACAGTGTATCTGGTGATGGCAGTGAGCTACATTTTTGAATGGGGATAGAACTGAATGTAGCACCATGCTTCCAATCTGTTCTGCAGAAAAATGAAAAAATTCAAAGTGGTCTTTAAAATGCTATGCGGTAAAATGAACACACATTTACCATCTATGAAAGTAATCAAGTAATTCAGCTGCCTATTTTTTTCCAGCTGAATAGCTCTCCCTGTTACTAACTCAGTCAAATGAAAGCACCTCACCCTCACACCACCTCAGCTCCAGAAATTACAATAATGCTGGTCTCTTTAATTTGTAATTTTTTTACTGTATGTTAGATTTGCTTTTCCAGGAATAAATTAGCTGATTGCCCTGGGTAAGAGAAATTTTCTTTGCAAGAGAGAGAGGGGAGAAAASCTCTCCAAATCATAACCAGTATGGTATTTCAATTACTGTGTTCATGCCAAAAGATAAGTTATATATTTAAATAAGATAAAATGAAACCTATATTGCTGCTACTGCCAAGAAAAAGTAGCACATGTACATACACACATATGAGCAACATTGTTCCTTTCTGCCCCTGTACTAAGAGCACATTAAGCCAGCTTAGGGATTTTATATTTAGACTATTAGTTTTGAGACCAATACCTTTAAAACATTTGAACAATGTATTTTTATTTTAAYCTTTTTTAATTAAAATTACTGAAATTACCTTTTTTTTTTTCTCTAACTCTTGAGTAGTTTGAGGCACACCTATCTTTATAGTGATCTATTTTCCRTTCTTTTAATGGATAAATACATATGTTAGATACATGTTATATATGTGSTAATATTACCCTAAGTTAAGTCTGCATGGTCATAGGTGGAAGTGCATTTAGCAGATGCTCAATCTGCTCACACTTCCCAAGGAATATTTCAGGTGTTCCAGATCTTTGAGCAACTCCCGTGGCAACATGTCAGGAAAGTGTTTCTGTTAATTATTTCCCTTTGACATTTAACTTCCTAAATTTAATTTTTCTGTATTACAGGCAGAAATATATGCAAAATTCTATCTGAAGCAGCAGGGTAAACATGGAAATTTCACAGCACTTAAATGAGAAAAACTTGATAGCAAGTTCTTCACAATCTAGATTGCRAGACAACAGGTTTTAAAGCCTTTAGGTATTTGTGTGCCAGCTGATTTTAGAGGATCCCAGATGCACTGCCTGTATCAGTATTTTCACCTTCTGAGTTCTGTGTGGCTGCCCAGGTAGTTCTGTACTATTAGCTTTTCCTAATACATGGAGCAAAGCAAAGTGCAGTCCATGATAGATTTCAACTTACTTTATTTAGCATTTTTTTTCTGAAATAGGCTACATTTTGATGAAAAGCAGATTTCACAGAATTGTCTAGGTTGGAAGATGTCTAAGATCAAGTCCAACCATTAACCTAGCACTGCCAAGTTCCCTATTAAATTATGTCCATTTCTCCATGAGTGCTCTTATTTTTCTTTCTGTCAAAAATGTAACAAGTGGGCATTTCCTGCAATCCTGGTTTAAGCCAATGTAGCTCTCAAATTTTCTCCAGGACAAAATTAGTTTCCGAAAGCATTGTCCTGTTCTTTGAATGGGAAAATCAAGTCCCTTGCTCATCAAATGTCATGTTTAAATACCCTTCATCCTTTCACTTGGATAAAGTGATCTGTTCTGGGTAAATAATTGTATTACCTCTGATGCCATTAGTTAATATTACTAACCATGTTTACACTGATTGTGTAAATTTAAAAACGCTTTTCTATTTTGAATGCAAACAATTTGGCAGATAAATGAAAATTCCCTATGCTGTTTCCATGTAGCCATGCTGCATGGAGGGAGGAGGAATCAAGATTTCCACTGACATCCTGCACGGTATATACTCTCACTGGCTAACTCAAACCACAATTATGCCTGAGTACACATTTTGTGCTTATTTTTTATGTCCCATACACAGCATATGTTTCTCAGTTGCTTAGAAAATGAACTCCTGTGCTTGCAGATGTATCTTGGACTTTGATTTGAGTCTGATGATTTTTATGGCCTTTTTGAGTTACTCTATGTGGAAGCTTCTCCAGCCGTTTGCAGTCACCTGATGTTGAAGCAGTGTGGTTTGGCTAAAACTAATCAAGGGATTTTTGACTAGAATTAGGAATTTCATAAGAGAGTRGAAGAAAGAAAGGGGCTTAAATGGCTTTTATTTCCAGGCTATTAAGCAGTACTGATTAAAGTCTCACGTGGGTGTAGGGTACTGTGCATTTAGTCAGCTCTACCAGAGCTCCACAGCAACCTCTGGGAAAATACCATGCCAGCATACAAATCAAGAGCTACTGAAGCACTTAGGTTAGTGAAGAAAGTTCTCAGAGCATCAGACCATATGGCTGCTCAAACCAGAAAAGAAAGTAAGAGGTCCCAGATGCAAGTAAAATGTTAATAGGATTAAATGCTTCAATATTTTTTTCCTCCTAATTATAGAATGAATATATTCACTTCTTTAAATGTGGGACCAGTTTTAATAAAGTCAGCGCAACATGAGCACATTCCTAATGTTAATTGTATGCATAATGGCTTTGCTGTATGAGATCAATTCTGTAAACAGTTTGGTCCAAGCTTATCTTGCTCTGCTTGAGGCGTCTGGCCAATTTTGATTGTAGCTGCCACCAGCGTCCTTTACATCTCATCTGGGAAAACATACTTTGATGGGCAGAGTTACATCCTGATGAGRGCTTGTGTCTCTCCACCAACACTGCAGTGAGCCTAGAGAGATATACTTCTAATTTTCAGTGTCATTTCCATGCCTAAATTTAGGTTGGCAAAAGCTAGGCTCTTGAATATAATTTTGCTCATCACATAAGGAGCTGCACCGACATCAGTGGTATAGATGTAACCAGTTACTTATTTTAATGTGTTTACAGAATTGAGCCCAAAATGTATTGCTTCTGCACAAATCCATGCRCAGTACAAGATGATTTCAATAGTAAGAAAACAGATTCATTTAAAATTGTTCACAAGCRAATCTGCATCTTGATATCAGGGAATAATATGTGTTCATTGTGTGGGGTATTTGAATTCATTCCTTTCTTTGCTAAATAAATGAATGATAAAACAAGATACTGYTTGACTTCATTTAAAAGCCGTTCTTCCAAATAAAAAAGGATTGTGGGATCTGTGGACATTTTCCCTTTTTTTCTGTTTACTCTTTTCCACAAAAATGAACCYGTGTGTGGCTGAAATAGCCTTTAGCTAAACTGTTCTGTGTCACTAAATGAACGCTTTGCATTGTGTTGCCATGCGACGACATTCTCTGACTGGGATGGTACAAAGAGTGAAATATGCAAACCTGGGAGGTTTGGCAATGATTTCAGCCCCAGCAAAAGCAAGGGTAGGCAGAGGTGAAAACAAAAATGTAGAAGAATGTGACTGAAGGCTTGGCAAACTTGTCAGCAAACTCACAGGAATGCAGAGGCTTTTTGGGAACTGCCAAGGGTGAGGCTATCTGGGCTGTGAGCTCCTAGATAATCAAKCCAACTAGTAGCTCAAGGAACAGCAGTCTTACTGCAACAGGTATTTGCAAAATTGTGATTGTAACTCAGAATYGGGCAAGAAATTAAACTGGTGACAYTGTCAGCATCAGGTTAAGCAGAAGGGGTGGAAAGGCACTGGCAAGCAGTGACTGCCACTGTCCAGGTAACGTTTTGGCAATACCTGTGTTGGCAGGGAGGATAAAGGAAGAGGTCCACACCTGCAGAGCTGGTGCTGAATTCAKGGATTTTGGACTAGCTGCAGGCTAGTCCCACAGGCTGAACACCCACAACCAGGTAGAGTGTGTATCCCTTTAGTTTCCCTCATTTGCTACAAAAAGGAAAAGCACCATACAGGTRGTGTGCTCTGAGACTGCCTCATGGTGCAAGTTAAAGCACACTGAGAGATGTGCTGGGAGCTGATAACATGGCAACTGATAAACCTTTTGTTTCCTTTTGACTTCTTCCATCCAGGTTGGACACTTTCTCATGTACTTCTCCTCTTGCCTCTTTTGTTTGTGTGAAATTGATCACAGCATCTACCTTGCTCAGTATTTATCAATTTGAAGGAGAGGATTTTATGCCAGTAGTGAAGTCTACTAAAATTTTTTACGGTGCAACTGTTATCAAAGGCTGTGTGAAAACTGCTATAGTGACACCAAGCCTGTTTTACTGTAATTGGTCTTAAACTGAGGGTACTATAGCAATTTCTCAACTGAAATGATATCTGAGCAGAGATGATAATTTTCARAAAAAGATTCAGTGTAACTTTCAACATTCTCATAATCCAGTCCTAGAGGCTGAGAATGCAGAAGGAAGGTGCTATTTACACTTGGTTTTTGTTATTTTTTCTCCAAGGGATTCATCCACAAACCTCATCCAACTTCGGGTTGCAAAATACCACGGAAGGTAATTAACAATAACAAAGTAATTTTGGTCACCGCAATATAAGAAAGACAAACTATCAGAGAGCACCCAAAGGAGGGCAATGAGGATGGTGAAGGGCCTTGAGGGGAAGCTGTATGAAGAGTGGCTGAGGTCACTTGGTCTGCTCAGCCTGGAGGAGACAGAGGGGGGACCTCATTGCAGTTACAGCTTCCTTGTGAGGGGAGAGGAGTGGCTGACACTGATCTCTGCTCTGTGGTGACAGTGACAGGACCCATGGAAATGGCATAAAGTTGTGTCAGGGGAGGTTTAGGTTGTATATTAGAATAAGGTTCTTCACCCAGAGGGTGGTTGGGCACTGAAACACCTTCTCAGGGAACCATAGCACCCATCCTGACCGAGTTCAAGTGTTTGGATAATGCACTCAGGCACATAGTGTGACTCTTGGGGTATCCTGTGGAGGGCCAAGATGATCCTTATGATCCTTYCAACAGCTTATTTAGTGTTTCTGTGTGATTCTGTGATATATTGCAGGATTCAGCAACACAGGATTCAGCAACAATATTTCCTAATCCACTAAGTCCATAG